GCCACTTGCCACTACACCACCTCCGCCCAGTACTCCTTATTATTATGGCGAGATCAGAGCTGTATTCAATAATTTCGTACCAAGTGACCAGGCCATTCTTGCAGTGCCATAACACTGGCCACATGAGTTAAACCTGATCTGGACCACTCTTAGAATATGAAAATGTCAAATATTTGAATCTCTTATATGCTTCAAATAAACAGTACCGTCTCAGGCTCCGGCAAAGAATTCTTTTGAATTCTAATTGGTCCTCTCCAACTTTGCTTTGAAAGAAAATTGAAGATTTATAAAGGGTAATTCTAAATGTGGTAGTGGGAAATTGGAGGACAAGGGGTACGAAGGTGAACAGAGCAAAATGAAGGAACAATAAAAAAGGCAGAGAATAATGACGGAAAACGTTTGCCATCGGCTTACACACAATTCATTCAAGGCACTTCATTTATGATTGACCTGACTTCTCCTCTGATGACGGACAGCATTTATGAGGATTAGATCAAAGTTAAGAGCAATTCTGCATACGCAGTTTCATTCAAAATTGATCAGAGTTTGAACAGGGATTTTGTAATGACGTTGTCATAAGTTTTTGGATTTTAGTCAGTCACAGTCCCAAATATTCATTTTAGAGGAGATATCCCGGCCGTCATAAAGCTTAGCGTGAAGATGTTGGCTACAGATAAACGCTATAACAAAAAAGGAAGCAAAACTGTCGGCCGCTTTTTGCCAAACCGGCTTGTAAGGTGATATATTTTTTTAGCAGACATAACGTTTCGGTTGATGTATCGTCTCAGAGGACCTGATCTTTTCGAGTACCAGAGCTATGACCTTCTCCATAGGGCATCTCACTAGATATAGCAGTTCCGAATCCACACCGGAAAACGTTCAAAACGTTCCAGCACGTTAAGGTGCGGAATGGTTTGAGTGGGTCAAATGGGCTGCTCCTTCTGGATCAGTTTAGAACAGATAGCAATGGTAATAGAAGCATGACTCATAAATCCCTAATTTGTTAAATCCAAAAGTCTACCTCCCCTATTTGGGATCACTCGTCTGTCTTGGTGGGCGCAGTCACCATTGAAAACTTTTCCTGCGGGTAAGGCTTAGTACCAAGGTTCCATACGAGTTTCGTGAACGTAAGTTTTTTTCTCTGCCCTCACGAAACTCGTATAGATGTAATTTTATTCATTCCTCTACCTCGACCTTGACGTCGCTCTCATTTCGGAATCACCCACGGCGGCTCCTGTGTTACAACGACCTCGTAATGTGGTAGCGACCCCGTTCATTCCCCTGACTCGAATGTTCGTTTGGCGTAACAGAAATCCAATCGGTTAGAGCCAAGCTTTCGTGGGATCTCATTGTATGTAAAGATCCCAGGATTTTCTGCCTAGAGAAGACCAAAAAAGGTCCAAACTAGTCTCCTTCCTGTCGCTTTTAGTAATAAAGAAAACTAATAACAGCCTCAGTGATCCTCGGAACCTTCAGTATTAATGCTAAAAAAGACCTTATCCGACAGAAAAGGACAGGAAAGGAGTCATCCCATTCTCTTTCCGCATTGCTTAGCCTGCCTAGCAGGTTTGAGTGGGATACGCCGTGTTCCAATCAACGGAACTCATATCTACAATTATCCTTCAAATCTTAGCGATTTATGGAAAGCCACACTGCTCTCATCAAGGAAGAGGTGATGTAGGCATGCAGCATGCTTTAGCCTCTTA